TCCCCAGCAGTCACAGCAGCCGGCGGCACCTTAATGCAAATAGTTAGATTGTTTTCCAAAAAGTACCCTGTAGCAATTAAAGTTCAAAGGGTATGCCGAACTGAGAGTTTGTTGTTAGAATTTCAACTTTATTATGAGTTTTCACAAAGCAAAAGTTAGGAAGTTGCCTTCACTGAAATATTTTCACGATTCTATGGCACCTATAAAACCGAGTAACTTGACTTAAGGCGCTGTGATTTGGCTAAATATATTCGGTAGATTAAGTGACACTGGCGAAGTGAAAGGAAAACTAGATTGCAGGAGGGAAAACTTGGTGGAAAATGCTCTAGCCGCGTCTTTTGCATTATTTTATGGCCTCAAGCAAATGATTTTTCTTTGGCAGAGTTTCTGGTTAAACTTTTCCGCTGCCAAGGAAGTTGGGATGTGTTTTTTTTTTCTTTCCTTCTTGTTCTTCTCTCTCTCTTCTTTATGTGTGAGTGTGCATATTTTCCCCAAACAATTCTCAACTCAACTTTTACTCCTTTATGGTATTTTTTCGGTTTTTCTCTCTTTTGCTCTTTATCTCCTCTCCCGCTTTGTTCTCCCTTTGTTTGGCCAAAAACTTTCTGCTCGGAAAAGTTGCATTGAAAATATTTTGGATTATTCAATTATGGCGAGCTAAAGATGATGCACCCCGCGTTTTGTGTATTCCATTCGCTCGCCCCTACCCACCCGCTTTCCCGCTTTCCCTCTTTCCTTTTTTGCAATTTCAACTTTTCATTTTTTGGCTGTAAAGATTGCGCTCGTAAATCGCCCGCTTCTCCAGGGACTGTCATTAAAGTTAGATGGAAAAGGACGAGGGCGTAGTACGGCGGGGGTGGATGGGGGAAAAATCGGAGCAGAGGAGACGAAACTGAAGAGGAGAACGAGAGGGATACATCTTGTTCTGCGCGGGGCTTTTAAAATGAGAACACGACTGAAATGAAATGCCATCAAGTGAATGACGAAAGTCACGTGCCAGCGGCTGACGGAAAACAATTCCAGCGAGTGCCAACATTCAGCTGTGGCATGCCTCAAACTCAAACGCAAACTAGAAGTGTGCGAAAGCCGACACTGTGCGAAAAAGTGGTAAGGAAGGGCTATTAGTTCGTCTTACGATTGTTACTTTGATAGGAAGAAGGAAAGATGGGGAAATATTTAGTATATTAAAAAGTAAAGCTAGTCTCCCGAAAACTCTATTTTTAATAAATATTAATACAATTTTTAATGTTTTTAAAAACCATTAAAAACATTAAAAAGGCTTCCTAACCCAAAGGCACATTTTGTATGTACTTTTCGGTGCAGGTTTTTGCCACCTGCCGTCTGGGATGCGGACACATTGTGACATATGACGAGTGTCTCCCACTTGCCATCTCCCTCGCTCTACGCTTTCCTCCTGCTCGCTCCTCGCTCCTTTCCCTGTCATGTTGGGACATTCCATTGCGGAAATTATGTTCCAACATACCAATATACAAAAACACATACGTTTAGGTACAGGGGGTATTCTTTATAAAGGAAAAGTGATGTAGAAAACGATTAATTAAGACTTCATTATTATCCTTAAAGCCTTAGTTTGGTTATCTTTTAAGTTTCCTAAATTAATTGAATTTATTTTTCAAATACATCTAAAAGTATGCAACAATATATTATGAAGCCAAAACTGAAAAGGATTCTTTCTAAAAGGAAAATTAACCACTAACCTCTATAAGTTAAATCAAAATCATATTTGCACTATTTTAAAGAGTTCCTCAATGTAACAAGACTGTAGCTTTCAATTCGAGTACCCACTGTAGCTTCACGGTGATGTCGCACTCACGCACATCCATTTGAGAATGACATTCCTGCGCCTGTGGCACGTTTTGTGCGACGTTTGCACATTGCCAGGATATAACTTGATGCTTAATGAAGACATCCAAACACACACTCTCACGCACTTATACACACTCCGACAATAAAGCCAGATGGATGAGTGTGCGTGGGCCGCAAGAATTCCAAAATTATTCAATCAATCAGTCAAATCCATCAAGCAATTTCCGTAAATTAGTCGACTTGATGATTGAGATACTTTGCCCTTTTTCCAGTGCTTAGATGGCACTTAAATTGCAATCCAAGTATGATTTGCGGTGAGAAATATATATTAGAAATTTGGGATGTCAAAATATTAAATAATAAATTATATAAACAGATATACTTTTTAAGACACCCTTACTTTTGGCAGCTAAAAGTCTGATACACCAGTTACTGGTAGATTAACTGGGAATGTTATGTTCGTTAAAGAAGCGTTTCCAACCTTACAGACTGCGTATTCTATACTCGTCTTGGTGAGGATCAATAGCCGAGTTGATTTAGCTTTCTCCTTTTGTCCGTCCGACCTCTTCCTATAACCTTTAAGATCTTGATAACTATAAAATCCAGAGGAAGTTCGGTGAAGCATGCAGATTCCTGTGCAAGTTGATTTGCCAGCAGTTGGCCACCCGCAAGCAGCGAAAAACTGTGCTACCCCTTTAAAAAGCTTGATTTGACTTCAAAAACTCTTTTTCTCAATACCTATCAATCTATTAAAAAGTTTTTAAAGGATCTTTATCTGAAAATGCATTATGAAATTAAAATTATAAGGCCTTTCATGGGGAGTAACAGTTTCCTTCAGTTTGGCTATCAGCTCTAGTTAACGAGTCTACCAACAGATGGCGTTTGCTGCCTGCTAACGTATTTATTATGATATTAATAAGTGATGTTACTAGAGCCACAGGATTCTTCTGATATAGCATTTCTTCTTCTAACAAGTTTCTTTAACAATGCAAGTACTTCCATTTCTAACCCCTTTTTGCACTTTCTTTTCCGTTTCATTGAATTCTTTCTGCGTTTGCCAAAGCATTTGACATTCCTGCATGTCATCCATCAATCTGAGCTGCGGCTCATTAAATCACGCAAAATCTGAGAAGAAACAGCCGGAGGCATAAGCACAAAAGTTGCTTCCATTTCAATGCTGCCTGCTGCCTGCTGCCTGTTGACCTCTGCCCTTCGTCCGGCCTACTTCCTCCCTTTATCCTTGCCCCTTTTCTCACACTTCCTGGCAGCTGTTGTAATCCGTTTAAAGTGTTTTTGCGGGTTGTAAACATTTCGACTTTTAATTCACTGACAGCGGTTCTTCATTCCATTGCCATTGCCTTTGCCATCTCTGTCTTTCTCTCTGCAATATACCTTTCTCTTACTGACCACCGGCTTTGGGGTTTTCCGGATCTTGTGGGCAGCTGGGGTGGTGTCTCCGGATAAGTTGTGTTTTTTTTTTGGCGACTGCTTTCGCTGTTAAGAGCGTAATTCGTAAATAAAACATTGCTAATTAGGTGAGGCGAAAAGAAACGTAAAAAGTTGTGAGAAACTTTCTTAAAAAATAATATAAAATAAAATACAAATTTATATATTTAAATAATTTTTAGAAATTAATAAACATGACAACACATTAGTTAAGAAGGAACTAAAGAATATAAATTTATTTATAAGAATTATTATTATTAAAACTATAAAAAAAAAACGAAAAGGTTTTACAAAGGAAACTTTTCCGCTTCTCCTTAAATAAATTAGTTAGATTTTCCAAATAAATACCCAAATTAATTCAATTACTCCTTATACTCGTACGCTTAACCCCAACTCGGCCCCGACCTTCGCCTCAGTGCCGACCTTAACCCCTTAATGGGGCGAGATTTAAGCGTTGCGTGATTTGAGCCCAAGCATTTAGGGGGTTAAGAGGTTGATGGTTGATGGTGTTTTTGGGTGGATTGTTCAGTAGGTTATGTCAACGCGTTGGACTTTAATTAATTACCGGGAAAATTGTTAATATTTGTTCAGCCCTCGCTGGCCCTACTCCTGCTCCCCCTCCGCACACTCTCTCTCTCTTAGCCAACAAGGCGAAGAGGGAGAGAGTGGGTGGGCTCTGGTCCTTGGTCCTTGCTGAGTGCTTTGTCCTGTGGTCGTAATTTAATTTTTGCAAAAAAATACCCAAATGAAAGCCACACCAAGAGAAAGGGAGAGGGAGTCAGAGAAGGGGAAGGGTGTAGAATGGCGCTGCAAAGTATGCAATGCCGAATTATGCTGTGTGTGTGTGTGTGTGTGTGTGAGCGGAAGTACATGGCAAAATGCAAAATAGCGGGGCCACACCAATGCAAATACACATGCATAGGCACCCACACAGGTGCATAACCAAATACATGCACTAAGCCAAATGAAAGCTACCAAAAAAAAAAAAAACGAAGAATGGAGCGATGGCAGCTCGAATATGCAAGTTGCCTTACATTGGAAATAAAAGTTGATTTAAAAACCGGAAAACTAAATAAATGCAGCATTTATGATGAAAAATTCAAGTTCATAAATTATATAAAAATAATAAAATACTTCACAAATATTCTATGAAAAGTAAGAAGACTTTCCACATTCCTATAAATAAAGGGTAATGCCAATGAAAAAGATTTTCCGCTGTCCATTTCATTAACATTTCTGCGGCCACCGTTGAATACGTGACTTTCCAGGGGGTGTGTGGCTGTGTATGTGTGTGTGTGTGTGTGTGAGAAGGGGGAAGGGAGCTGGTCTGGGCGATATTCAATTGGAAAAAAAAAGGGAAAATCAACCCAAACACACACAGTCGGACTGACGTATGCAAACATTTGAAGCCGCGTTGAAAGCGAGAAACTAAATATGAAACGAATTTCAACGAAGGCCAAATATTAAGCAGAGAGTAAATATAGAAATAACGTGAAATGTGCGCAAATCTGCATATTGTATCCATGTAAAATGATTGCGATTTGCTGAGGGTCCTTTAACGAATGTTGAACGTTGAACGTTGAATGTTGAATGTTGAATGTTGTATGTTGTATGTTGTATGTTGCATACGCAAACGATTTTCTGTTGCAATTTATCAAATAGCAAGCTTTGGTTTATAAAAGGAATCCCTTTATATTAATAACTAACCAACCTCCTTCCTCTTTCAGATGATGGAGCATGCGTGGCACAACTACAAACTGTACGCATGGGGCAAGAACGAACTGCGTCCGCTATCGCAACGTCCCCATTCGGCCAGTATCTTTGGCTCCTACGATCTGGGCGCTACGATCGTTGACGGCTTGGATACCCTGTACATTATGGGTTTGGAGAAGGAGTATCGCGAGGGTCGCGATTGGATCGAGCGAAAGTTTACGCTAGACAATATCAGTGCAGAGTTGAGTGTTTTCGAGACAAACATTCGGTTTGTCGGAGGCATGCTGACACTGTACGCCTTTACGGGGGATCCACTGTACAAGGAGAAGGCCCAACACATTGCCGATAAACTGCTGCCTGCTTTCCAAACGCCCACGGGGATCCCCTATGCGCTGGTTAACACCAAGACCGGGGTGGCCAAGAACTACGGCTGGGCATCCGGCGGCAGTTCCATCCTCTCCGAATTCGGCACCCTGCATCTGGAGTTCGCCTATTTGAGTGACATAACCGGTAACCCACTGTACCGGGAGCGAGTGCAAACCATCCGCCAGGTGCTTAAGGAGATCGAGAAGCCGAAGGGCCTGTACCCCAACTTCCTTAACCCCAAGACAGGCAAATGGGGACAACGTAAGTAGAGGGATTCTTCCACGGATCTAGTCTTTTAATCTCCATTGACAAAAATACTAAAATTATTATCCACCCACAGTCCACATGTCCTTGGGCGCCCTGGGCGACAGCTACTACGAGTACTTGCTGAAGGCTTGGCTGCAGTCCGGGCAAACGGACGAGGAGGCCCGCGAGATGTACGACGAGGCGATGCTGGCCATTTTGGACAAGATGGTCCGAACCAGTCCAGGTGGACTGACATACGTCTCCGATCTGAAGTTCGATCGGCTGGAGCACAAGATGGACCATTTGGCTTGCTTCTCGGGTAAGTTTGGAGATGATACAAGAATCTAGGAAGCTAATTATAATAACTATTACTCATAGGTGGCCTTTTCGCTTTGGGAGCTGCCACGCGTCAGAATGACTATACGGACAAATACATGGAGGTGGGCAAGGGCATAACGAATACCTGCCACGAGAGCTACATCAGAGCACCCACTCAGCTGGGACCCGAGGCCTTCCGGTTGGTTATTCTTTCACTTCCAAAGCTCATTTCAGTATAATATCTCTAATCTTTTCATATTTGCAGATTCAGCGAAGCTGTGGAAGCGCGAGCACTGAGATCGCAGGAGAAGTATTACATTCTGCGACCAGAAACCTTCGAGAGCTACTTTGTGCTGTGGCGTCTTACGCACGACCAGAAATACCGCGACTGGGGCTGGGAGGCGGTCCTCGCCCTGGAGAAGCACTGCCGCACGGCGCACGGTTACTGTGGCCTGCGTAACGTCTACCAGCAGGAGCCGCAAAAGGACGACGTCCAGCAGAGCTTCTTCCTCGCCGAAACGCTTAAGGTGAAGATTTTAATAAGCCGTAAAGCTGGTTTTCAGCTAGTTCTTGCCATTATATGTAGCAAATATTCTGTATTTTGCGTCTATGTATTAGAGAGATCAAGAATGTGCAATCTTCTAGGCTGTAGGACTGTTATCTTACCAGGCTTAAGGCTGGTTTACTATCATGACTGAGAAATCTAACAACGTACTTCTTGCTAAGTTTATTTCTCTATTCGTATATGGAGTATTGATTGTTAACGTGAAAGTATCTTAATATTTGAGATGCTGGATATTATAGAACTTGCAAAACAAGACCAGAATGTAACCAATACAAATTTACTCCAGCACAGAAACTAGAAATTCCTTTTGAGAACATTGGCAATACTTGTCTGAAGTTTGTTTTAGACTTGTTAAGTAATTCTCCTCTTTTTTTGGTAAACCTTTTAGAACTTCTATAAACAACATTCACGTTAGGTAAAAAATAGTTTTTAAATAAGCAGATAAACAACTTAAGCTTTAAGCTTCTAAAGCCAAAGGTTTTCTGTGTAGTAAATCTATTTTGTATGCAGTTTAGCTTCTATTCTACAAAATGTGTATTTAAGAGAACATTTTCTTTAAAAAGGTCTATATACTCTTATCCACAATCCTTTGATTAACTTCTTGAAAATGTAAACTAATCAATTGCCTTCCTTGCAGTACCTGTACTTGCTGTTCTCGGACGACTCGGTGCTGCCGCTGGACGAGTGGGTGTTCAACACGGAGGCCCATCCGCTGCCGATCAAGGGGGCGAATGCGTACTACAGACAGGCGCCCGTAACGCTTCCGGTTTCGAATGCCTCGTAAACGGGCGCCGTGCTGCGCCGATGGCTGTTCGGCCTGTCCCTAGCAATGCAGCTGACTTAGCTCTCGATATATGATTACTTATCGTAAAAGTGTTTTTTTTTTGATTTGGTTTAAGTTTTTAATTAGTTTACGTGATGATGACAACTGCGTGCGAAATATATTGTATGATCACAATCAGCCAGGCACACACAAACACACACACACACAGAGAGAGACACATGCACACACTGACACTCACACCACGAGAAACTTTCAATGTAACATATTTATAAAGCTTGCACATACGTATATAGGAACCTAAACTTAAACGGATATATCGTAGTTTAGTTCTAAACAGTTTGCACAAGTTTCTCCGAGTCTCTTTTTTGATTTAGCCTACGGCCTTTAATGACGGTAAAATAATCCAAATAGTTGACTGGGCTGGGTTGGGTGGCCCCGATTTCCATTTGAAAGCGAATGACGTAGACACGTAGGCAAACACTCTTGATATTAATTATGATATATGGATATATGATATATGGATATATGTGTAAATGTAAAACTCAGGTGTTCTTATTATGATTTTCCTTGCGCTAACACTCAAGGCTCTTTCTCACAGCTCTCCACGTTACGTAACTATCTCTACAAGCATTCTTAACGCAATTTGCGATCTGCGATCTGACTATATGTCGGTATATCTAGATACGAGTATATAGCGACTTGGCTGGCATTTCGATAGATCTACTCAGCTGTTTTCCAATTCGAAACTTTGACCACTTTGTTTTGTATATAATTTCTAATGGCTTTCGTCGCAAAATGAAGGCAAGAGAGAAGAAAATCGAATTGATATTTATACAAATATATATTCTTACACAATATTGTTTAACTTGTAGCCTAAATATTTAAATATAAATTTAATATAGAGTCTAGCTTACTTTATGTGACGAAACAAATGTAACGCGAATTACCTTAAATCAGAACCAGAACATCAAGCGAAACGAACGCAAATGAAGAAGTCTATATGAGAATATAACTAAATAAATATATATATATTTGTATTTAATTAAATCAAATAAAGCGTAGGCAATTGTTAAAATAAATGAATTTGATTTTTAACAGCTGTAAAGGTTTTTTATAATAACAATAATAATAATAATAATAATACCAACCAACAATAATCATATTTATAATTCTATTTATAATTGTAATCCATAGTCTAAGCCGCAAGTATCGCATGGTAAATGAAAAAGTTAGAAGTTATTAAATTGTTTTTTTTTTTGTAACCTACGCAGCCTGTGCGCTGCGTAAAGTGATTTAACAAACGTAAAAATAATATAAAACATAAGCTAAGACCCTAATGTAAAACCGAAGAATTTTAAAAACAAAACCTTTTAACGAAAATAAAATAATATCAAAACAACTTAACTTAAATCGATAAATCAGTAAATCAGTAAAGCTAAACAGAGAACACGGCAGAATGCTAACAGAATAGGACGCTAATGAGAAATAAAATCGAAAACTAACTAAGCATAAATCTAGACCTTAGAGCAAACTTTTTTTGTTTAGATCAAATTAGAAATGAGGCCAATGCCGTGATATATGATATATCCGACGATAGTGCCCAAAAACACAGATTCAAATGGCAGTTTGTAAATGCATCTGACATAATGCACTCATCGATTGCAGTCCCTGAGCTGCTGCCGATGGCAATTGTATTTTGTCTAAAACATAAGTTTAATAAAGATCTACTAATTAACTTAAAACAAAGTATTTTATATTTAAGGGTTTTGAAAATGGAAAATTGTAAGGGGAAAAGTAAGTTTGGTTTGGTTCCTAAGCATTCTGGGACATACGACGACATACCAAAATCAAGTTTCATCTACAACCCGTCTTACAGCCAAGAGATAAGCATATAAAGTTGAAAATTCCCTGTTTATTCAGCTTTTCCTTTCGCTCTGTCAATATTTTTATCTCGCAGCACATTGATAGCTCATTGATAGTTTGTCTGACTATAAACAAGTACCCCCATCCCCCCGATGATTCCACTTTCAGATATATTTATGTATCTGCCACACAAGCCACTTCACGAGCAGTTGTCGAGCTCAATTAATGAGCAACCCACTTAAACCCAATGTGCGTATACTTAATGAAGAAACTTGCACAAAAGGCGAGCACAAAGCACAATGTGAGGTTAACAACATTCGCCGGCGATTCGAGAACCCGGAAAGGGAGTTCGTCGCGACAGATACACTCTCCTACCCCCTTTGATTAACCCCTTTAAGCCGTAATAGTTTCTTAACATTGATTTGACTAAACTATTTGACAATTTCAATAACAATTTTAAGGTTTATGAAAGTGAAATATATTTCTTATAATTTTAATTATAAACATTAATTAATTTGTATTTTTCATTCATATAGAATGACTTTTCTTTTTTGATATTTCCTAATTATCCAAATCATATTCCTTTAGACTTCTGCTCTCTATGGGTTAACAATGATTGGCGTGCAAAGTCCAAATTCTGGCAGCATAAGATCTCTGGGAGGGGGAACAAGACTGGGAAGCAATGGTAAGGCGAATGCGAACAAAGCATAACCATAAAACGGAGGAGTGCCAACCGCCGATTGCATTCGCCACCCACCCACCGCCCACCATCCAAAACAAGGGAGAGAAACAGAGCAAGAGTGTGCACATAAAGAAATAGATTTAATATTTAAATAAATTAACTAACAAAAATAAAAATACTTTAATCATTTTTAATAACTCCTAACTTGGATTCTATATTTATATCAAGAATCATTTTTATAGGGTTCCTTACAAACCTTATTCGGTATTTACTGCTATTAAAGAACAACTTCTTAATCACAAAAGTCGCAAGCGTTAATAAAAGATTTAAACATCTCTATTATTAGACATACAAAATGAAGCAAGTTTAGGAAAAGTATGTAAATATTAAACAGAAAAATAACTCAAAATATAACAAATGCCTTAATACAGATTATTTTTAAAATTAAATCAGAAACTTTTATTTTCTAAAATCTCAGAAATCTTTGTTCTTAAAAAAATTTGTCAGAAAATGAGTTTATTTTAATTTAAAAGAAAATTAGAACTCAAAATGATTTTTCCAAGTGTTTTATACCGGTCGTTCCGCCTCTCTTTCGCTCCTTATCTGTCCGCTCTCTTTGTGCTCTCTGTTTGGCGTTGTTGCCTTCCTTTGTTGACTAGACGAGCCCGCCAGACCAGCTGAGAGAGTGTGCGTGCTTGCTGCATGGCAATGCCGTGGATGGCACTGTTGTTGTACCTCCAAGTTGTTGTCATACCCTAGGATTTTGTTAGAGTCGCACAAGTGGTTGTAAAAAGGTTTGCCAACCAATATTGACTCACCCAAAAAGTTCAAACAATTTAAAATGTATTATTCTAAAAATAAATCGGAAAGTGCTTAGAGTTGCTTTTTGATTATATAAGCACTTAGGAACTTTACAAAATTTTATTAGGTAATAATAAGTAAGTTAAGAAGTACATTTGCCTGAATTCGAATTTTCAAAGTAATTGTTTCTTCGTTTCGATTATTTTTAATAAGCGAATAGTACTAACTTTACTACTTTACTATAATACTTAACTCTATTTTTAAAATGAAAGTTACAACTTTCCACATTAAGTTATAACAGATATACTTCTCGACTGCAGGGTATCTGCCAGTCGCCTCAGTCCTCTGAGAAGGTTCTACTCTTTGTGCTTGGCTTGTTTTTGTTTTTTGTTTTGGTCGTTGACGTTGCGGCGTCGCTTCTAGCAATCCGCACAGTTCGCATCGAGACTCCGAGCAGAGCGCTCCAGTTGCAGATAGAGATATAGATACAGATACAGAGATACAGCGAATCGGGAGCGGAGCTATATAGCTACATTAGCCAACTTTAAGACTCAAACAACTACAAGAGTGAAGATGCCGTTCCCCATCCATCCGCCCAAGCAGATGCCCTGCCCCCACTGGCAGCACTTCCCCATCAGTCCCGTGGACAGCAAGCCCAATCCGTTCGATTCCGTGGGCGGAGCAGCGGCAGCGGCCACCCAGGTCAACATGGGGGTTAACAAACCCCCAGAGCCGGTGTCCTATCGCTATTGCTTACAGTGCAAGGCATCCGGTAAGGAGTCATCCAGCAACACCGACAGGGAGTAACCCCCAAAAATTTGGAGGTGACCTACCAATGAGCCAAACCTAATCAGCCATCACCTGTAATCAGCCACTTCACAAGAGGACGCACTTGAAGAGCCAATTAGAAAGAAAGCAATCACAAGAACAGCAGAACAAAGTTTTGATTTCAAGAGATAAACCATATTTTCCATTTCAAAATCAAAGATATATATTATATATCTATGTGTGTGGCAAGTCAGATCCCAGCAAACCATCCATTTTTTTCATGTGCTGCTTTCTTATATCTTCGACCTGGATCTGATCTTAAAAATAACTCATAAATCTAACCATTATATCAGATTACTTAATTAATATCTGATAGCTAACGACAGTGAATATCCAGTCAAACGCACCTTAATTTTGTCTGTTAAAAATAGTTTTTTATATTTGAAAGTTATCCAAATGCTCTTAACCCATTGATCTACTGAAAGTAAGGTCAACGAATAACTAATAACATGTCCACTTTTCTCTCTCTGTGTTGTTATTATTTAACCTAACCTAAGCACATGTTCCATTTATTATTTTTTTGCTGTTTTCATCTAAGAAAAGTGTTTTTTTTTCGGTATAATTAAGTTAGGCATTTTGTACGTATTTAATTTGTATTTAGAGCTAAAGACTACAGTTTATACAGCTTATGAATTAATGAATTTTTTAAAAAATTTGTATAAGAGAAGCGCTAATAAACGCACGACGCATTTAAAAAACGAGTTCTACACAAATACAGAAGCACTCCCCGTGTACACATACCATATGCTGGCTCTTTTTTTTTTTGATTCCAAACTCAGAGTTTGTTTGGTTCTGTTTTCGGTTTTCGGTTTTCGGTTTTTGTTTTCAGTTTCGTTTCGGTCTTGGGTTTTTATGTTTATCAACATTCTCAAGGTCACCTACGGCGCGTCAAACGCAAAAAGGTGCGATAAGAGCGGCTTGAGATTTCGGGTTTTTGATTTGGAAAATTCGGGAATAGTCGCCTGATTTTCCTATCGTCTGTCCTACAAAAAAGTTCAACAAACCATTGGAAGCGAGGAGAGAGTGAAAAATCAAGCTGATAAATAAGCAAAGGGTGTTGCGTTGGGGGACTAATTGCATTCGCTCATCGCTGCAAAATAATTGACCAGAATTCTCAGAGAGTTCGTTTGCATGCATGCTAAGATTTGCATACACTGAAAAAAATGTTCCTTATGTTGTTCCTATCTTGATATTTATATAAAGTTATGTCCTATTATAGTTTGGCAACTTAAAATCGTTTCTAAATGTAATCAATGTTGTCAAAAGTCAAATCAATCCCAATGAAAATTGAGATAACCTGTAGATACTTTTCTCTGTGGCCATTTATTTATATAAGGATGTGCACACATGTCTGTACTATATTTAACCTTATCGCGTGAGTCGGCAAGTGCGTGTGCGAAAAAAAAACTTAAGCAAATACTGGCCGATCGAATAGTTTGTATTATTCATCCTACTGGCTGATAGGTGAAATTAGTGCTTCCAAATGACACGGTTCAGCATTCCGAACTCGGACTTTACAACTCGGCATTTTGATCAAATTATAAATTTATGACTATCGTTTTCGGGGCTTATCTCCGCCGATATGGCCATTATCTGACTTTGAGTCTAGCCAACGTGCCCCCTAAAATAACACACACACACCCGAAAAAGGAGATATGAAAGTGCAGATAAAAGTGAAAACAAACATAAATAAATAAACATTAAAATAGGAAAGGAAACAGAAGTTTACTTGCTCTATCAATTTGTTAGATCTGGAAAGTAATCTTTAAAAGAAACTCTTTTTGGTTTTGTTATAAATTTTAAATCGAAGGAGAATTTAGTAATTTTGAACATTTTTTCAAACTATTTCTAGACAATATCTTATTTTATAACATTTAGTTTTGTAAGGTAAGTATACAGCTGAAGAATAAAAGATTTTTTAACGATCTGTTAAAGCAATGATAAAACTTCAAAACTCCCAAAAACCTTAAAAAAGTCTTTTTTAGCCTTTGAACAAAGATGATTACTGAAAATATTTAAAAGTTAAGAAAGATTTATTACATGAGAGCATCAATTTGTATTTTTGGGTGTTATTTGTCTTGCTGATCATGTAATTTTTTGTTTTCCTTAGCATCAAAAAAGCTTTAACAACTGCCAGAGCTTTGCAAAGCTTTTTGTTCAAATAATTTTGAATAAATAATTCGTTTAACGGAAATTAGTGTTGTCAAATTATCTTTTTTTGTGAAACCCATTTTAATGTTTTATAATTTTGTTTTGGTTTAGTAAAAACTTTATTTGCTTTGGCAAACTCTCTAATATTGAAAAAGAGCGATAAAAATAATACTATCGAAGCTCGAACATATTCTTCTTTTATTAGATATCAAAGTGACATGCCGTCTGCTTATCAATGCCAAAAGAAAACGTACCGTTTCTTATCGACTTTTAATTAGTGTAATTATAATAATTATTATGGCCATTCAATTACTTCTTTTCAATAAAATTCTTGTATAGCAGCTGCCCCAAATCGTCAAAAGTAAAAGGATCTCCATTTTTCTAGCCATTTTCAAGCTGAAAACAGCCTTCTACTTTCTTTAAAATCCACAGCTCTGCTTGCTCTCTCTCGCCATCACTGGTTGAAAGCTTTCTCTCTGGCGCTCTCTGGCAACGGCATGCGCTCTCTGCAGAGGTCCTGCGACGGTTCCCGTTAGCTTTTTAATCATGTGGGCCGCTCTGCTCCGCTTGCACCTCCGCCGCAGCTTCCTCCTCGTCCTGCTCCTCGTCCTTCGTCATCTTCGCACGCATTCGCTTTCGGCGAAGGCACCCGACACAGCAGCAGCGGCAGCAAAGGAGTCGCAGCAGCAGAAGCAGCAGCAGCAGCAGGAGCCGCCGCAGCAGAGGAGCAGCAGTCGCAAACGCGCAAGCAGCAGCCACAGTCGCAGTCGCAGTCGCAGGCAGTCGCAAGCAGAGCAGCAAGCAGTTGCAAGGGCGCCGCCTCCGTCGAGTTGAGTCCTAGTTTGTTTTTCACGCTTTTTCTGCATTTCCTTTTGGCTCATGTTGTTTTTCTAGTTTTTTGTCGGTTTTTTCGTTTATTTTTTGTTGGATCTCTTCGCCTGCGATTTACGCATTAGTAACGTGTCCTGATTTTGGCAGTGGCATGACAGGAAATAAAACAAAGTTGTAGTAGTGAGTGGTACAACGGTAATTCGCAGTGTGCCAAATTGCGAATTTCGCACTCATTCACTCTCTTTCTCTCTCTATCTGCTCCCGTTTGTTGCCTACTTTTTTTGCCAGTGTGTGTGTGTGTGTGTGTGTGTGCGAGTGCTCCTAGTTTTTTTTTTTTTGGTGCGGGAAAAAGAGAAGTAAAGTGCCTGAAAATTCACAATAGCATTAATTAACGGTTGTTTTCCCTTTTGGGTCGCAACAGGCCTCCCCCCTTAAATGTTCTGTCCCTATCTCCGGCCATCTCGCTCGCTCTTTTTATGGGTGTGTTTTTGGTTTTGCCCTAGGCCGAGTTCCTGTTGTTGTTCTTGTTTCTTTTTTTTTCCGAGTGCATGTGAGTGTGTAGGTGGCAAGCAATAAAATTTCATAATGGTTGTTGTACTAGCTAACACAAAAGCACTCTTACCAAATTAATTAAGTTAAAAACAAAACAAGGCGTAATCAAAATTATAATATACAAAATAAACGCATTAAAAACTCTCTGGCACAGAAAAGGATGCTCAAATGGCAAAGTTGAAGAGATGGCAAAGTGGAAACTTCCGCTGATAAAGTGACCCAAATATGGAGAGCAAAGCCACACATGTTCAAGAAAAGCCATCAAATCGTACAAGAAAAGAAAAACGTATCAATGGAAAAGCCACTTCCTTTCAATTAAGAAGTTTGAATTATCTGAAGGGGTTAATATTAAACTACAAACTACAAACTAAGGAATCAAAAAGAGCTAATAAACACGTGTTTGTTTTTCCCAGTAACCAAATATTATTTTTCTACTCTACTTCCTTGTTTCCTAGTTTCCCCCACTCCAGAAAAGTTGAACTACATTACAGATGAAAAGAGAAGTTTGCTTAAATAAAGATAACTTTACAAAAAAATAAGCAAATAAACACAAGCTATGTTAAGCCTAAAAACTTTTAGTTCAAAACTAAAACAGAAGCCAAAGAAAATTAAATTAAAATTCATTTTAAGTTCACAAGAGCACCAAATTATATTACTTGGTATATAGTGATTAAATGAATGTTTTTAACATCTACTTTCTATTATGAATCTATAAATTTATACTTAACTTAAAAGAACAACCTTAAATGCTTCCTAAAACAAGTTAACCGTCATTGTCATTTGGTTGTATTCTTTTATCCAGAAAGAGTTAGCCCAGCCCCGCCCCCCTTGAGCGTATATCTCCGCACATTTTTAAGCCGCCTTTTTCTTTTCTTGTCCTTTCCTTCTCCATATTCCCCATATTCCCACGCCCACCCAGCACCCTCCTCCACCGCTTTCTTATCGCTGAAGAGTCACGTTTTTGACCCATTTTCACATACTGGTGCCTAAGCCCATACAGTTGGCATAAAAGCTGCTGTGCGGGTCCTCTTCTACCCCCATTAACCCATGCAGCCACTTAACCCTCGAGTGGCTCTCGCTGATGTAATGCCATTCGATTTGATTTGCCATGGTTAACCAGATTTGCTTGCCACAGCCATTCGGCATTTTGCGGTTGCTAATGCCTAGTCCTTCCACTCTAAAAAAATCCTACAAAATTTAAAACAAAGACAAGGCTTAGCGCTTAGGAAAGGATGAGTAGTTATGAGTAGGAATGCTAAAGCTAATACAAGTCTGGTTTTTAAAGAACTTTCCATTACTAATAATTTTGATTTAAGTTAATGTTTTCAATATAGCTTATAGATAATGGATCATAGATCATAGTATTGTTTGGGATTAATTTAGAGAGTTTAAACAATTTTTTAATATTTTTATAAATTTTTGATTATACATTTTGTTTGATCTTTACAAATATTTTTGTATAATTTCTAGGCCATCTTCTTTTGATTTATTTCTGTAATTGTTAATTCTTTCTATTTTTGAATTAGTAATTATATATTTTATTCTTATTTGCAACCAATCTGTAATTATTCTAAAGTCCTTTATATACCGGAATGAATATTTACATATTAAATTTATATTTTATTTGATATACACCGTTAGGCCCTTTAATTTTTCTTGGTGTATGCCACTTTGTGTGTGTGTGTGTGCCTGTGTGTGTAGATCAGAGTCTGCTAGTCTATGTTTGTAGGACTGGTTGATTGCTTGCCACATGGTTGACGATAAGTCAGTAAGTTGATGGCCCCAATTTGCGTACGACTCTAATTTGTTTGTTATTTTTTTTTCGGCTCCCATTAGTTAATCATTGGCCCAGAGGGTGACCAGCGTCGTGTTGCTCAGCAAACTCCCCAGTCACCGAAATGAGCCACTGACACGCCCTTGGCGCTTCTCTACTTGGCTATCTGGTTATCTGGCTATAACGTAGGAACCATCCCCAGTCGGACCTAACCCCACTTAACTTATCGCACGTGCCTGGTCATAGACTAGAAAACAGTATAACTGGACAACTGAAACACCACTAAGGTCCTTCCACAGGCGCAAGCAACAGGACTTGTTTATCGGTGAGTAATCCACGCGGGATTCCGATTCCAAATGGTTTGGCAATGCAGGATCAAAAGGGGTTGGCCATTTTCAAGGGAATTACTGCCCTAAATATATATATATATGTTTATTATTCATACCACGCGAATTTGTATTCAGTAATATAAATTAAAGAATCCAATAGACTTTATATGCTATGTCAAAATATGCTTGTTCTTCGAGAGAAAAATATATAAAACCTCAAAGGCGTCTAAAAGTATGCAATAATATATCTCTAATCCCAGCCAAGGCCCTCAGCAGTGGCCTCCCTTTCTGTAGTCTTTATTCTCCATATTTCAGTTTACATTTTATTCAATATTTAGAATCCGTAATAGCTAAGAATTCGTTTTAAAAGTCTTTAGTGCATATGATTTGCTTTGGATTTTAAATACTTATGACTTTTGCGGTACTCGCTATTCACATTTGATAGAGATATTAACTAAAAAGCCTATTTTATACATAAAACATATTCTTATAAACATTCTTAGGTTATAAACAAGAAAAAGCGTTTGATATAAACCTTTTCCTAAATGATTTTCTTTAATAATAATGTTTTAATTGCTTCGTAGTCCTCTTAATATATTAAAATAAAAGAAATAAAGAAGTCAGGAACAGCTGCCAACCCAATTTGATCCTCCACCCAATATATTCTTAAAAAACTGGAACCCAAACTAACCTATTTGCTTTTCAAATTTCAGGCAGCCCCTTGGTCGGGCCCCACTCCAAACTGGCCCATCAATTTTGGTTCTCCTACCCGCCACCGGGCGCTGGCGGCGGTTCCTCAAGTGAGTCTTTCGGTTTGCGCATGCGGGGCAGCACCTTGGACCCTCCACTATTACTATTCGTAATATTCCCTGCCATAAAAAAAAAAAACCAAAAAAAAAAAAAAAAAAAGAAAACTGATCCCCACTTCGTTTGTGTTGTTCGTCCCTCGATGTCTATGTAATCTGATTGATCGATATAACCGAAAGTGATCATAATATAGCCCGTGTATAGTCTATAGGGAGTGCGATTATCGTTTGTTCTTTGGTTCCACTTTCTATTTTGTATGACTAGGCCATCCTGTGAGTCCTCTCTCTGTATATCTATCTGTATTTAACATATATATGTATCTTGTCTGTACGTATGTATATGTCTGTATGTGGTACGTTTGTTAAGTGACTCCTCTTTAGTTGTGAAAGCCACATAAAGTATCTCTCTATAATTATATATATACTCGATGATTTCCATATCCTTTTGTTGTTGCCATTACTTAGGTATATACTCGTATATATATATTATATATTTTTGCCACATACCATATATTATATTCTATAATAATGTAGCGTAACTGTAGTCAAGGGCCAGAAAACCAGAGCCGAAGAGAGAGGTAATTCGGCTTGAAGGATAGATGCGAGGATCATAGATCCCTGATTTGACTTGGTTTCCTTGCATTTTCCCAGCTGATAGTCTTTGGGGTGGGCCAAAGAAAATTGATACCAGAAATTGAAAAACCAGATATCCCCAAACAATAAACTTAAGATTTCGTTCCGATTTAAGTACAAAATAATTGAAGATTTGTTTTTTGTCCTTCTTTTCTTTGCTCTTCTTTGATTGTATTGTCTTCTATGTTCAACACACAATAATGAATGAAAAAAAAAAAAGGAAAACTAAAACTAAGGAATCAAGCCTAACGAATACGAAATACTCGTAAAAACTAAAGAAAACGAAAAAATAAGACAAAAATTTTAGAATCAAATCGAAAACTGAAACCAAAACGGAGATTGAGAGATTCTTCGTGTGCGATCGCTACCTGTCTCTCTACCTCTCAGTCTCTTCTCTCTATATCTCTATCTCTCTATCTCTCTCTATATATATATATATTGCTATCTATCTGCCTATATGTCTATCTCTTTCTCAAAAGACACACTCAGACACACCGCACTCACCTAACGGTACTAATTCCATTCAAATCGTTCCGGTTCGCGTCGCGATCGCGTGTTAACAATTACAAAATTCGACTAAAATCGTTACTAAAAATATAATCAAAATCAAAATCGACACAACTACAACAACAACAACAATAACAATAACAACAACAACATCATCACCACAAGTACAACAACATCAGAAAAAAAAGAACACTTTGAGGTAAGGAAGAATTTCTTTCTCACTGTCTCCACACACTTCGCCTCTCTCCGTCTCTATCTCTGTCTCTCTCTCACTCTCTCTCTCTCTGTCTTTGTCTCTCTCTCTGGTCTCGTAGTGTTGGCTAAATGGGATATCAACCATTGAACCAACAAAAAATAAAAAAGAAAACCCCTTAGTATAACCCACCTAGACCAACAGTCAAGAAATACAAAACCCCCCCTACATAGAGAGTTCCGTTATTCCGCCGTTCCGTTCCGTTGGTTGTTACGTTACGTTATGTGTAGTTCGTTTCGTTCCACGTTCCTTATTTCCCCTTAGTTGTCTTAAGTTCTAAGTTTGATTTTTGTTTTCGCATTTCTCGTAGCGCTTTGATGATGATAATAATGATGATGATGATGATGATGACGATAATAATAATGACGATGATAACATAATGATGACCCTGATGCGATTGTGTGTGTGTGCATAAAAGTTGTTTATGAATGGAACGAGGTCAAAGGTGGGACAGGTGCAAACTTGTGGCATCCACACTGCTGCACTCGGGCCTCTTTGAAGTCATCCAAGGGGTAGAACGAGATAATTGCAGCCGGTTGACGAGACATGTGTATGCTTGAGGCTTTAGAAAAGGTTAAACACATAACGGGAATACAAAATGATGACTAGAATAAGTAGCGATGCTTGAGTATTTGTATAGACTTTTGGACCAACGAAGAAGGTTTCTGAAAGCCAGTCAGAGTATAAAACTCATGCTTTTAGCCAAAGACATTATAAAAAAAAGAGTTGGTATACATTTCTAGATTAAAAGTGCTTAAAAGTGGTTGTAATTATAATGTAAAAGAGAAGCGAAAGTTGGTACTAAAATTGTAGCAGTGTGACCAGCGCTCTATTACAAGCAGTAGTCGTGTTAAAAACATTCATTTTTCCAGAGGTGCTCTAAAATATGTTTCAAAATTAATAAGTTAATCATATCGAATGTTTTAAAAATATACATAAAAAGTACCCTTTTGTAGGAAATCATTATTTCCCAATGATCAATCATAATCCACCACACCACAGTGGCTCAAATAAATGCTTACCCACCGCTTGTGACGCACTAACTGTACTTGGTGAACTCTTGTGCTCTTGTGGTGGGTTGGAGGCCCTCAATCGGTTGAAGCCAAGGCCAAAGCTCAAAGCTCAAATATTCATGGGAAACATAAATGCACGAGAATAGCAAAACGACTGCCAGCAAACAGAATGTTGAGTGTTAGTCGAGTAGAGACCGCTCTTCAAAGTGGAAATGTTCTCACCTCATAAAGAAAATATATAAAATAAATAGGAAAATAATTAAGAGACCAGAACCAGTTAAATTAAGCCACCGTTTTCATTTAATGACATTAAAATAAAATAGTAAATAGTTGCTGATATTAACTTTAAAGCAAGCAGTGTGCCCAGCACGTTTGTTAAATACTCCCGTTCTGTGGTCACACTGCCACCCAAAATGCATATCTCTCTGGCTGCCGCGAGCACTCGCCGCTGAGCTTTAATACGCCCGAAAAGATGACACTAATTGGGCTACCGCGGTCAACTCTGAGTGCGTTTAGTGTTTTGGGTTCAGTGTTTAGTTTTATGTTCTTGGCGAGCCGCATGTTGCTGTTCAGTGTCAGTGTTGCCTGGTTCTTCGGCCGCAACTGACGACTGTTGATTCCGTGTGGGCTTTTCACCTGTCGAAAGGTGCGAATTAGCATGACACCGCCTCGGCTGAGTCGCTATTTGATGGCAGTGCGCGGTGGGCGCGATGGGGAGCAGCGTAAGTAGGGGGCGTGGCCTTGAATTCTATATACATATGTATATATATAGTTGAGTATAAGTGACGACTGTATATGTGTGTGTGTGTGTGTGTGCGAGTGAGAGCTGTAGATATGCATGCTGCAAGTTGTTTATTTTCCAAACATTTAGCACTTTTAACCATGCATGTGTAGCGCTTGAGTAGACGACGACAGTAAAATTATTGCAAATTGAAATACCATAATGAGAATCGATTGAAACAGTTTCTCTCCCCCCTCTCTCTCTCTCTCTCTCTCTCTCTCTCTCTTCTTATCTCTTTCTACTCTGCTATCCATTTTGAAACTACTTGTTTTTCTTATTTTGTGAAATCTTTACAACATTTTTCTGTATTTTTATTTCTGTCTCATCTCAACTTTTGGTTTACTTTATTTTTGTTTCCTCGTTTCCTGATTTCTTGATGTCTTCTTCTTTTCCACTTTTCCATCATTTATTGTTCCTTTATTAATTGCCATTATTTGTAATTAATTTCTGTGCATTTGTTTAAACTATATATAGACAGCAAGAACTCGCAGACCGACGAAGAGAAGCAGCGCGATCGACAGCGAAACGAGCGCGAGGCCAAAAAGGAAGAGCAGGACGCCATCAACTACAAGGTGAGTGTGTGGGTGTGTGTGCCTCTCTCTGTCTGCCTATCTCCCTATCTCTTTCTGTCGCGGCCAATTCGGTGTGCGTGTGTGTATGTGTGTCTACCGCGCGTGCAAAAAATTAACAATTCAAAAAAAGTAATCCCTCCACAAAAAAAAGAAAGAAAGAAAGAAAAATTTACCAAAAAAAAAAAACAAAAACAATAAGAAAAAAGAAAAAAGAAAATAGAAACCAATCAAAATGAAGCAGTAATTGAAAATGCAACAGCAATAATAACGATGGCCATGCGATAACCCTTAAACCTGATAGTAAGAATGCACTTTGCGACAATTGCATGCAAACAGCGCGACAAGGAGCAACGCGAGGCCCGTCTGCTGGACTTTGAGATACGCCGCCAGCAGAAGCGGGACGAGCAGCAGCAGCAGCGCCAGCAGCAGCAGCAACTGCAGCAGCACCGCGAGCAGCAGCAGCAGCATCATCAGCAGCAGCGAGAGCAACTCCAGCAGCAGCACCGCGAGCAGCAGCACCAGCAGTCCAGCGAGAAGAGTCCGCCAACCTCGTCTTCTGCCGCCGCCGCCGCCGCCGCCGCAGCTGCCGGCCATCAGACCCATCCGCATCAGCAGCAGCAACAGCAGCGACAACACTTGCATCTGCAGCAACAGCATCTGCAGCACCTGCAACACCAGCAGCAGCAGCAACAGCAACAACAGTCAACGGGCAGCGGCAGCAGCAACACCCCCGTGACTCCAAAGTTGCAGACACCGCCCCCCGATCGATCGCTGCCCCCGGCCTTCAGGAGTCGCTCTATCGAACGGGAGATCCTCTACGAACGGAAGCGTTTCTCGCAGCCGGAAGCCGGCGAGATCAAGGTTTTCCATCACTGACCACAAAACCCACTGCCCACTGCTAAAAAACCCGCCCAACAATCCCCCCCATCTTGCACCTGCCAGCGGCAACTAGATCTTATTTTGGAAGGTGGACACAAGAGGCGGCAGCGTCTATTAAAAATAGATTTATTTTTCATTTATTATTTTACTTACATTTTATTTTAATATAATATTCATTAATTTTTTAGGTATTAAAACAAAATTTGCTGAGATTATTAATATTTTTAACAATTTAGTTACTTATTTAATTAGCTTACATTATTCTTATTATTATTACTTCTTAGACTATTTTTTAAGTTTATAATTTCACCATTTTTTATTACCTTTTTGATGTAAAAACAAAGCTTTAAGGATTAAATACATTATTTTGAATATTTTTAATTCTGATTTTTATTTCATATTTTTTAAATATTCCTTAATTCGATTATTTTGTTACATAAAAATCGTAATCAATCCTAGAAACCCCGCTTTTGTCCACCTTTTCTCATAATGAATTATTAAGTAAATGAAAATTTCTTTGGGAATTGCCCGTTGCCCGCACAGGAGCTCGATAGTACAACATCATCATCGTCCACGCAGCAGACCTTCCCTGGCAGCGCAGTCGGGCCGGGCAGCAGAGCGGCGACAGCGGGAGCAGCGGTACCTGGCAGTGGGACAGCAGGAGCGGGAGGGGTACAAACGACGACATTGGCGGGGCCGCCGGCAACGGCCGCAGCTGCCACAGCTGCGATCATCCCAATATTGCCGCTCGGCGTTGCCACGCTGCGCGATGATTCCACCGAGTCCGAGCAGTCCGTGACCTGTGCGCACAACCAGCTCGATGCCTACCACCGCATCATGTGAGTACTTTCCTGTATATCTTTGTACTATATACTATATTTATGCCTATATACTATAATAATCGATGTACCATAAGCTTAAATCATAGGGTTTTCCCTACTCTCTGTAAGAGAATATCCGACTGTTGGCGTGAAGAGCACATGTCTGAGCGCTGCTGAAATGTAGCTTCTCTATGAAATTGTTTAAAAAAGTGTACATCAGCATCACTATTTCAAACGTGCTATTCCACAAATCTTTTATAGATCTCACTTTAAGACAAAGCTTCTAAACGAGAGTCCCTTAAGAGAACTGCCTTCTCGTTCATATAACTCTGCTCGGAAAAACTATTTTAAGGCTGTTTCACTAAATTTATTGACCATGATCTGTTCTTTACTGCGATTGGGGTTAGATAAAAGTCAAAAATTTATATTTTCCAACTAGCATTTCAAATCTTTAGTAAATCATTCATGGCCAGATTTGGTTTCTAAATATATATTAATCATATTTCGGTTTTAAACACTGCAATCTTTAAGTCTTTTCTTTCTTCAGGCTAGAAACTGGGAAAACCAACACCATAGTCACTTACAATAATCATAAAATCAGTGAAAAAATGAAATTCTTAAGCCAGGGTCTGGGAAAAATGGTTACGAATGAAATCATTGGCCATCGTACAAAATTCTTTCTTGGTAAAATCCATAATTCCTTTTATTTTTAAAATTTAAAATCAAATAGAAAAAATCCTTTTCATTTATTTTTGGTTTATAACAAGTACTTAAGAATTAAATTATTATTTTTAGTCCTTCCAGTGGAGTTGTATTAAAAAAAATTTAATTTATTTATTTATTGATTTAATTATCTAAGGCTAAGCATTAGTTAAGAAAATAAAAGGAATAATGGTTATAAGGTTATAAATCTTAGCAAATTCTTGATGAAATATGATCCCTGATAAGTTTTAAAAAAAAATTTAAATACCATTAAAGTTACTCACCAAATTTTTAATTAAATTCGTTTAATTTCCCGATACAACCTTCCAGAAATTGTGTTCATTCGTTCGAAAACTTGCTAAATTCGGGCTTTGAGACTGAATTGAAGAAGGAAAGCAGTAAAAGACAGATAGGAGTATCTCTCTATTAAATTAAACCGTGTTTGTGGGCTGATTTTATGAGCTCTTAAATGTAGAATCATGGCCCAGGCTTCGAGTTTTACTACCTTAATTCATTGATAAAAGGCAGATTTATTTATTATTTGTGTCATCTGGGAAGAGTACTTTTTACTGTCCTGCCAATTGAAAATTGCCTAGCCTAGAACGTTCCTATCGCATCTTTTAGTACTTTGCGTTCTATGAGAGGGAATGGAAGCTGTAAACTTAATGAATTCCAATTATTTTCCGTCTGCGTAAATATTTGAATGCATCCGTTACCGCTTGTTATTAAACGGTGTGGGCAAAAGGAAAGCTCTGTGATTATACAGACCCGGTTTGTTTGCATTTTTCTTGGTCTTGCATCATTTAAATTGCGCTTCGCGGCATTAAGCCAGGCAAACTTTGAACAGTTTTCTTTCTTTCTCTTTCTCTCTCTCTCTCGCTTGGCAAAAGCTTACAAAGTGCAACGAAGAAAAAAAGGCTTTTGTATAGCTTATACTCGTATGACAAACAAAAAAGAGATTGTCTTGCCACAATAGTTTGTGTGACTCATACAATTAAATAAAACATTCAGGAAAGTTGTGCCAAAAGTTTCAAACAAATCAAGGAATTGCACTTAGCCCTGAAAAGTATGCTTCGAAAGTTGCATGTAGAATACGTGTACGAGGCATGTAAAAACACGTGGGAAATCAAGTATGCGCTGTGTAGGCCGGTGGTCAGCGAAAAATGCATGCCCGCAGATGGCGCTTATGTGCAGTGGGCAACTACTTGCATTTACGTTTAATTTTTGTTTTGAATAACAAATTTATTTTATATTTTGGTGTTAGGAAATATTTTCTTTATTCTTTTAAATATTGCCAATAATTTATTTTTTACCCTTTCTTAAGCTTTTCCATACTCTTTATGCTTAATATTGTTCAGGAAGAATGCTCTTTGCAAGGCTTTCAAGTTGAAAAACGGCACCAACTTCCTAACATATATGTTAATGAGTGCTTAATGAGTCCTTAGACTGACTGATTCTCAAGAACTTTTATGACATATTTCTTAAAAATGAGAAGAAGAACTTTGCCGCTCAAATAAATAGTTTTCCGGGAATATGCAAATATAAAAATACAAAATTTGCTTTGAGTTATTAAAAACGTTATACAATTTCGAAGTACAAAAGTTATATAAAGTTGAAGTCAGGAAACTGTTAAACCAAGACTGTAATTTTCCAACTCTATTATATAACTTGTTTCTTCGTCAATCTTCTTGTCTTTCTTATATACACTCCTCTTTTTGACATCTCGCTAAGAGTGGATTTAAAGACTTGACCAATTTTTCTAATACCTTATCGAACCCTCCAACTTAATGCTTATGCAAACATTTTGAGCTACCCAGACTTGATGGGAAAATTAGCAAATAACATGCTTCTGCGTTGGCCTCAAATTAAAATGGTTAATTTTTCATTAAGGCCAAGTCATTAATCGACCAGCCACGTAAACCCTCTAGCACACAGGTGCATTTCCGAATGTTTGTTGTCCGGGTCCGGGTCTGTGTCCGGTACCGGGGCTTTATTGTGTTTGATTTGGCACAGCCTGCAGTCTGCAGTCCGCAGTTCCGGCAATCGGATCGAAATTGAGGCATTTCCCCAGCCCCATTTCATATTTATGTGCAAAGCGAAATCCAAAACGCAATCAATTACCGTGAGTAAGTGACTTTTAATTGCTACGGGCCCAGCGAATTAATTTTTGACCTTACAGTACCAAGTGTTCTTTAATATTCCCATACAGTTAGCTCTAACATATATGTGCGAAACTCCGCTGTGTTTCTGAATATATGTACATACGAGTATGTATATGTGAAGGTTGGCCGGCCAGGGTGTTTGTTATGGCCTTTGGCAAATGACTTCTTTGCACTTATCCATTATTCATTATTATTCAGGCGCCATTTGTGCAATATTTGGATTCGTTCCAGCCCGGTTCCCAGGCCAATGCATTAGCCATTAGAAATTGCCGTTCATTCTGATCACAAAATGGGTGCTCATAAGAGCGGGCAACTTTTTGAGTTTGAAAAATGATTTTAAATTACTTTTTTCAAGTGAAATTCTTTAAGTTTTTAGTTGGGTAAAATGGCATTGTATATATTATGGAACTTGAATTAGTTACAATAGTAAAATATTTCATAGAAATGTTGGCTTATCTTAAAGGTAAAAACCATTTTAAGTAGTGTATGGTGTTGTTGCTGGTACTATATGTATAAGTTTAATATATCTAAATCATAAAAAGGTATTAAAAAATAATAATCCGACTTTCATGATTTAAATAAGAAGTCGTTTTACATTTTCTTTCACTCTTTTCTTCCACTAGCAAACTCTATTCTTTTAAACAATCTTTCTTAGAGAGTCCCTAGTTATACCTTTAGAAATATTAGAGCCTACTAGCTCCTTGAAATATACATGTTTTCCATGTATAATTCATTGCACGATTTTGGTGCACTCGAAGTGAATTTATATTGCCTACTTAAGAGGGCTGTCAGGGACTCTGCGGAGTCTGTGGTGCGGAGATACTTTAAAGATGAGTACTTATAGGGTATTTATGTGTCATCCCTACATGCACGTGTGTGCAGCACACAAACGAGAGTACATATATGCATTCTAGCAGAAGGAAAAGGCCATGTAGGCCCCAGAGCATAAGCCGAAAAGGCAATCTCGTAAAAAACACGCACTTCCATCCATCTGTAGTACTACAATCGCACACACACACACGCACACACACACACATAGTGGCACTGCAGGACACCCAGAAGCACACTCACACACACACACTTAAAAACAGACACCCACACACAGGCACTGGGTCCCTTACACTCCCACATGGAGAATAAAGAAACATGCCGGGCCAATTTGCAACCGCAAAGAAGAATACTTTGGGGAAGGGCAGGGAAGAGCCACGAGGAACACAGAAACAAGGCGAAACAGAGAAAAGAACAAGGTGAGAGAGAGAGGGCGATATAGGGAAGAAAGAGAAAGAGGCGGGCATGGCGGCTTTTTTGAACTGGGACACGTGCGTTTTGGGCCAAAATTCACCACAAAAACAGAGAGCAGCCGAAAAAAGCTCAGATGCTCAAAAATTGCGCGCGCTGGCTAGCTCTCTCTCTCTCTCTCTCTCTGTCCCTTTCTGGTGCTTTCTGCCCATATCGCCGTTTCCCCAAAGTGCTTAAAAATTTAAACACAAGCTGAATCGCTCTAATAATTAATAGAAACATTTCCCTTTAAATTTAAGGATTAGGGATTTAAATTTCAAGATAAACTTACCTTCTTTAAAGTACTTAATAGGAAAATAATAAGTTTGTCAAATATGAATTTTAAAGGTCTGCGATTTGGAAAACTTTGTCTCTGAAATATTAACAAAGTGTCAAATAATTTTTATTTATAAATTTAAATTTAGTTTATAATTTATTGAAGGGTATTTCATCTTCGACCTTCGGCCCTTTCAGCATGCTCATGTTTTATTTTCGTTTTGTTGTTTCTCTGCTGTTTCCTTCGGTTTGCAAATAACACGTGCATTTGTCGTAACTGTCGCCCGTCCACCGCTCACCGCCCTGCGTCCTCCTACTATCGTCCTTCACCACCCACCTCCTCGTTTCGCTCTTTCGCAGCGCTTTCTCTCTGTCTCTCTCTCTCTCTGTCTCTTTTGCCAATTTTACTCTGCCATCTGAGATGCCAACCTTTGCTAGCTAAAACTTGATAGGCCTTAAGGCTAAACATAATAATTATTAATATTAATATTAAATTATAGAAACATTAAGTTTTTATAAGTTATTTTTATTTGTTATTTTATATGTCAACTAGTCGTATACGCAATATAAATATTTGCAGGCATTAAGAAAGAGATTTGT